AAGAATGTGTGTGTGTGTGACACATTAGTGTTTGGGAATGCTCCAGTGAAATGGATGAATAAGTCTCTGGCATCAGTTTAGCTCCGTCACCGACAGAACAGCCCCGGTGAGTAAATGTTTAGCCTGAGTCTGGCCACAGGAGAGCCGGAGACGATCCAGAGCTCAGCACATTCTCACTGTTTTCTGTGGCATTCTCTGTGTTGGCATCTTTGTGCCTTCGTGTTGGAGTCATCTGCAGATACAGAATATATATCAGAATATATATATATATATACACTCACCGGCCACTTTATTAGGTACACCTGTCCAACTGCTCGTTAACACTTAATTTCTAAGCAGCCAATCACATGGCGGCAACTCAGTGCATTTAGGCATGTAGACATGGTCAAGACAATCTCCTGCAGTTCAAACCGAGCATCAGTATGGGGAAGAAAGGTGATTTGAGTGACTTTGAACGTGGCATGATTGTTGGTGCCAGAAGGGCTGGTCTGAGTATTTCAGAAACTGCTAATCTACTGGGATTTTCACGCACAACCATCTCTAGGGTTTACAGAGAATGGTCCGAAAAAGAAAAAACATCCAGTGAGCGGCAGTTCTGTAGGCGGAAATGCCTTGTTGATGCCAGAGGTCAGAGGAGAATGGCCAGACTGGTTCGAGCTGATAGAAGGGCAACAGTGACTCAAATAACCACCCGTTACAACCAAGGTGGGCAGAAGAGCATCTCTGAACGCACAGTACGTCGAACTTTGAGGCAGATGGGCTACAGCAGCAGAAGACCACACCGGGTGCCACTCCTTTCAGCTAAGAACAGGAAACTGAGGCTACAATTTGCACAAGCTCATCGAAATTGGACAATAGAAGATTGGAAAAACGTTGCCTGGTCTGATGAGTCTCGATTTCTGCTGCGACATTTGGATGGTAGGGTCAGAATTTGGCGTCTACAACATGAAAGCATGGATCCATCCTGCCTTGTATCAACGGTTCAGGCTGGTGGTAGTGGTGGCATGGTGTGGGGAATATTTTCTTGGCACTCTTTGGGCCCCTTGGTACCAATTGAGCATCGTTGCAATGCCACAGCCTACCTGAGTATTGTTGCTGACCATGTCCATCCCTTTATGACCACAATGTACCCAACTTCTGATGGCTACTTTCAGCAGGATAATGCGCCATGTCATCAAGCTGGAATCATCTTATACTGGTTTCTTGAACATGACAATGAGTTCGCTGTACTCAAATGGCCTCCACAGTCACCAGATCTCAAGAGCATCTTTGGGATGTGGTGGAACGGGAGATTCGCATCATGGATGTGCAGCCGACAAATCTGCGGCAACTGTGTGATGCCATCATGTCAATATGGACCAAACTCCCTGAGGAATGCTTCCAGCACCTTGTTGAATCTATGCCACGAAGAATTGAGGCAGTTCTGAAGGCAAAAGGGGGTCCAACCCGTTACTAACATGGGGTACCTAATAAAGTGGCCGGTGAGTGTATATATATATATATATATATATATTCTACTGTAGAAATTAATACAGTTGCAGTTTTTTATGTTTAAGCACTTGTTTATTTTCTTGAACACAGACGACATCCATCCATCCATCCATCCATCCATCCATCCATCCATTCTTCGTTCCATCCATCCATCGTGCCATCCATCCATTGTTCCATTCATCCATTGTTCCATCCATTCATCGTTCCATCCATCCATCCATCCATCCATCCATCCATCCATCCATCCATCCATCCATTCATTGTGCAATAAAGGCTTACAGAACAATCCCAGTGAACAGGGAATGTTCTGGAAAGGTTTTCTCAAAGTTGTGAACACGTTATTACATGAACGTTAATAGAATGTTTGGTTTAAAAAATCTGGTCTTTAATCATGTCCTCATAATGTTTCTAACGTTGTTTAAATGTAACTTGTTTCGGAATGTTCAGACAATTAACTCAGACAATTAAAATTAACTTTCAAGTAATGTTTGAAGATTGATGAAATGGATTGTTCAAATAACCAAGAAAACACACATGTGTGGAGAAATAACATTTTCAAAAGTTAACCGTTTAGAAATGATATATTTGTAAGTTGGGATTTTATATATTTGGTGGCCTGTGTTGCAAACATTAGGAGTCTAAGCAGTTAAATCTGTCCGCATGAAGAACATGTTTGTTTTTTCTCGCAGCATGTTCTAGGTTTCCATTCCAGCCAAGACTTTGGTGTGTAGATTACACAAACCAATTATGACGGTGTAAATATGCACGGTTTTTGCATTTCCCGAAACCTTGAGTGGACGGCGAGTCACACAGTGTTCATCATGCTGGTCTTTGAAGTTCTGACCTGCTGCACTGTAAACACGATTCAGTGGGAAACTAAAGCTTCAGTTCTTCTTCATCAGTGCTGTGTTTTAAACATGACATTTATTGATATTTCCATGAATGTCATATGGACGATTATAACACTATTGTATAGGCCTATATTAATACATTTTAAAATAATTGACTAAAGATGCATTTTATAATTGTATTTAATATTATTAATTTATTTTATATTACTCATTTTTTTCATCATATTTGGCCTTGTTTTTCTCTGTCTGCGATCCATTTTTTGGTCACTACCCACCAGATAAAACTTGTTCTAAATGTATTGTATTTGATTATTTTTTTAACAGTTATCATTCTAATCCGAAATTCCTTTATTCCGCTGCTTCTGTGGTTCTGAAACAGACGCCTATGGTTTAGATACGGGGTGTGGCGTCAGGTTTCAGAGAAATGTTTACTCATGCTTTAGTAAAAACGACTCAGGGTTATTTTGGGCTCGTTATCTCGGGGCGCCTGCAGCTGCGAGGAAGAAGAGGAGGAGGATGATTACTGAGTCATTGTCTCATAGTCAGTGTAGTGAAAAGCGTTCAGTCTTCATCTGCCAGCTAGGTTGCTATAGTAGGGGGTGAGGGGCTTTAATTGGAACTTGACCTTTGACCTCCTGTCTCCAAGCACAGTATCCTGCCAACTGTTGGGTTGCAGTTTGAGAGCAGTGCTTTGTGTTTATCTCACAATAGTTGGAGTCTTAATGGGGAAAACTGATCCAGGGTCAGTATAAATGACGGCCGTTCTGCCTCTCCTCTGATGATGAAGCTCCTAAATTAGGACAGATAGACTCAGTTCTAGACTCAGTTCTAAACTTTGTTCTGGACTATGTTCTAGACTCAGTTCTGGACTCAATTCTAGACTCAGTTCTGGACTCAGTTCTAAACTCAGTTCTGGACTCAGTTCTAGACTCAGTTCTGGACTCAGTTCTAAACTTCAGTTCTGGACTCAGTTCTAAACTCATCAGTTCTAGACTCAATTCTAGACTCAGTTCTAAACTCAGTTCTAGACTCAATTCTGGACTCAGTTCTGGACTCAGTTCTTAACTCAGTTCTGGACTCAATTCTAGACTCAGTTCTAAACTCAATTCTGGACTCTGCTGTTTCTGTGGTTCTGAAACAGATGCCTATAGTTTAGATAGTGAACTCAGTTCTAGACACCGATAGTTTAGATATTGGACTCAGTTCTAGACTCAGTTCTGGACTCAATTCTAAACTCAGTTCTGGACTCAGTTCTAGACTCAGTTCTGGACTCAGTTCTAAACTCAGTTCTGGACTCAGTCATGGACTCAGTTCTAGCCTCAGTTCTGGACTCAGTTCTAGACTCAGTTCTGCAATCTGCTGTTTCTGTGGTTCTGAAACAGATGCCTATAGTTTAGATAGTGAACTCAGTTCTAGACACCGATAGTTTAGATATTGGACTCAGTTCTAGACTCAGTTCTGGACTCAATTCTAAACTCAGTTCTGGACTCAGTTCTAGACTCAGTTCTGGACTCAGTTCTAAACTCAGTTCTGGACTCAGTCATGGACTCAGTTCTAGACTCAGTTCTGGACTCAGTTCTGGACTCAGTCATGGACTCAGTTCTAGACTCAGTTCTGGACTCAGTTCTAGACTCAGTTCTAGACTCAGTTCTGCACTCTGCTGTTTCTGTGGTTCTGAAACAGACGCCTATAGTTTAGACTCAGTTCTAGACACCTATAGTTTAGATAGTGGACTCAGTTCTGGACTCAGTTCTAAACTCAGTTCTAGACTCAATTCTGGACTCTGTTCTGGACTCAGTTCTAGACTCAATGCTGGACTCAGTTCTAAACTCAGTTCTGGACTCAACTCTGGACTCATGTAACCCATGTTACCTTTTTGTAGCCATATATCAGCTTTATATGAGTTCAGAATGAAAACCAGAGTTGTCAGAGTGAGCGCTTAATCTCCGGAAATACAGCTATGTTTGACAGCTATGTTCATAATTCACATTAATTTTAAGGCAATGGACATATCGTTTCTGCTAAATATCTCTTTTTGTGTTTTATGGAGAAAAAAACATACTATGGAAAACATGATATGCAGAAATGATAACAATTCCGTGTGAACTATCCCTTTAATGCAACCAACTCTACTGTGAAAATATAGTGTAAAAGTTGATTTGCATGTGTGTCTCTGTGTCTATGTGTGTTCGTGTGTCTGTGTCTGTGTGTGTGTGTGTGTGTGTGTGTTACTGAAGACTCAGTGTACAGGAGGCTGGGCTACTACACAAACACAGGGTCAGGACGCTTGTAAAACGATCCTCAAGCTCTGAGAACATCCTCTTCGCTGGGGTCCCGCTACGCTTCACTTTCCTTTTCTCTCTCTCTCTCTCACTCACACACACACACACACACACACACACAAGTACACGCACACATTCCTCTCCAGTCACTGCGAGGGGCCGGCGCAGAGCATGCTAGAAACCCAGAGCAAAGTCATTGAGTCGCACGGTCACACACACACAAAGCAAACAGAGAGAGAGAGAGAGAGAGAGAGCCAGGGGAGGTCTGACAACTCCAGACTACATCTTCATGCTTTCTTCATAACTGCGTTTCTCATGCAGTTTCTCAAAGCTTCAGTTTCCCCTAGAACTTCAACTATTTGAGTGTTTTGAGCAGGTGACCGGATCAGCGATGACCTCCAGGCACCGGTCCCGAGACGTGAACATCTCTCCTCGCACTGACTCCACCTGACTCTGGACTACAGGACCCGAGCGAACCCTTGAACACACTCCTCCAGCTCCGGCCATGTGGTGTGTGTGGCGGTGTGTGTGTCTGGCAGCGCTGCTGGCTCTCTCAGACTGTGCAGGAGCCGATCAGAGACGAGGAGCGGAGGAAGGACTCAGAAGCTCCACCGGGAAGAGCAACAGCAGTCGGAAACACCACCGGATTCAACACGGACAGTGCAGTTACACCTTCATCCTCCCGGAGAACGACGCAGGAGCTTGTCGAGAGTATAAAGCGGGAACGGCGTACAACGTGAACGCTCTTCAGCGAGACGCTCCTCAAGCCGAGGACGAGTTCTCCAGCCAGAAGATCCAGCAGCTGGAGCACGTCATGGAGAACTACACACAGTGGCTGCAGAAGGTGAGTCGTGTCCTCTGCAAACACTTTTACTCACGGTTGGGTGAGATGAGAAGAGCAGCGGAGAGGAAAGAGGAGTGTCTGAATACAGTAGAAGATAAAGTGTGTGTAAAGAGGAAAGCTTGCCGTGTGAAAATTGAGACTTTGGCTGTGCGAGTCAGAACTAAAGCCTAGAAGTCTGAAGTCTAAAGCTGTGAGACGAATAAAGGCTCAGGTCACAGATATTTTTTGCTTACATTTGTACTTTTTGAAGAAAAATAAAATTTTATCCCTCAAAATGTATAACATAGATAGCACTATTACAGTTTTTTCCAATTGCTAACACGCTAAAATGACATGCACAGCACAATTATTTAAACGGACACACAGAGAGCAAAACTTTTTCTCAAGTTTCCAAAAGTCTAAACACATTTTCTGGTTTACACACATTTTGCATTTCAAAATGCCACTTTTTAAATGCACTGAACACAGTCACAACAATCTGACATAAAGTCACATGTTTGCCACTTCAAAACACTACCATTCAAAATGACACTGCATGAGCTAATTGGCCAATTACATGTGCCACCTGGCCAAACACCTCAATGGTTAATTGTTAACACTTCAATCAGGATGTAAGTACTATAAAAACTATAAAACTATAAAAATTATTTTTCTTGCCACTTTTTTTTACTGTAATATATTTTCTGGAAGTTTCTTTTTCAGTTTACTGTTTTTTGTAAGTGATTTTTTTTTCAGTCCCATTTAAATATTTCTGCTGTGCATATGTTGCACTGACTTGTTTACTGTAGTGAAAAAAATACATTACTGTAAAATGAAGCTTCAACAGCATGCGTGTATTTGCAAATATTTTTGTGCACGTGAACAATCTGATACATATGTTAGTATTATGGCAAAGCATACTAAAGATAGGAGTGCTTTTCATTATGCCCAACAGTGTGTAGTTGTTTAGGCAAAAATCTGGTAATATGAATGAAGTGTGCCATTTCATGCAAGAGTTTGATTTTGATAATGCTATGTGTAGTTTCGCTTGCAGTGCAGGATATATGAGGTATTTTGCAGTTTGGGTGTGTGGTTTTGTGAATTGTGTTAAGTATTTTGATAAAACCAGACTAGTTTTCAAAATTGTGTGTCAGCAATTGTAAAAAACTGTAAATATACTGTAGATTCTATCTATCTATCTATCTATCTATCTATCTATCTATCTATCTATCTATCTATCTATCTATCTATCTATCTATCTATCTATCTATCTATCTATCTATCTATCTATCTATCTATCTATCATCATCCATCATCCGTCTGTCTGTCTGTCTGTCTATCTATCTATCTATCATCCGTCTGTCTATCTGTCTGTCTGTCTATCTATCATACATCTGTCTATCTGTGTGTCTGTATGTCTGACTGTCTGTCTATCTATCATCTATCTGCTGTCTCACTGTCTGTCTATCTATCATCTATCTGCCTGTCTGTCTATCTGTCTGTCCGTCCGTCCGTCCGTCCGTCTGTCCATCCATTGATCTATCTTTCTATCTATCTATCTATCTATCTATCTATCTATCTATCTATCTATCTATCTATCTATCTATCTATCTATCTATCTATCTATCTATCTATCTATCTATCTATCTATCTATCTATCTATCTATCTATCTTCTATCTACCTACCTACCTACCTACCTACCTACCTACCTACTACTCCTACCTACCTACCTACCTACTACCTACCTACCTACCTACCTATCTATCTATCTATCTATCTATCTATCTATCTATCTATCTATCTATTTGTCTATAGTTCTATTATTCTGTCCATCTGTCAGAAGTGTTTACGAGTGTAAACCCGACAGGGATCAGCGCTTCTTCCTCACGCTGGGCAATTCGGCTGTTCGATTGTCGTCTAGAATTGTTTAGACGAAGTGAAACTTCTCAGATGTTTTTTTTTTCTGATCTGCGTTCTTGGCCGATGTTCAGATGGCAGAATGTGAGGACGAGTTTTAAGCTCAATGCACTGCGGGTTTTGCAACAAGGCAGAGAACGAGCTTTTACAATAACAGAGCGGTCTTATTAAAAGCATTACGCTGGGCACTTTAGCTGTCAGAGAGCTGATTTACAGCAACACACTCGCTGTGTTCAGGAGAGTCTCGCTCCACCGGCGTCCGGCTGGTTTCACAGATGTTCAGATGTTCAGGTGGACTCCACACGGCGAGCTGATGACGGGCTGTCAGTCACACTGATGGTAGTCGCTGCGCTGTCTCTTTAATGACCGGAAGCCACCCGGAAGTCAGCCGGACCCCCGGGAGCGTTTGAAGGAGAATCTTCAATCATGGGATAAACTTTCACTTTAACTGTCCTGCCAGATAACAGACAAATCTCCAATGCTTTCTAAAAACATCAGCTTGTTCTCTGTGCAACACTGTGAGTTGATTGGAATTAAATTTGATGGGGACAAAAATATTTCTACATACACTAAATTACTTAAACATAATGAGTACTTTTTGTTAACAAACACGTATTCATTACGTCAATGAGCTCATTGTTTTTGCCTTAAATTAATACATTGTTTAAATTAATACATTTTTAGCTAACTGTGATTTGTATATGTTTATTTCTGAAATACATAACTTTGACAGTCTGATAATAGATCACTCTAAATTGTAATATAGACTCATGTTTTTAAAGCTGCTTTGAAACTATATATTGTAAAACGCGCTCTACAAATAAATGTGAATTGAAATGAATAATAATAACACTTTACCATATGTAGTAACACTTTTTGTGGTAACAAAATGGCAACACTTTACAATATAAGATTCATTGGTTATCATATCTTTGTTAAGATGAACTAATTATGAACAATACTTCTACAGCATTTATTAGTCTTAGTTAATATTAATTTCAACATTTACTAATATGTTATTAAAATCAGAGTTTGTATTTGTTAACATTAATTCACTGTGAGCTGACATGAACACACAATGAACAGCTGGATATGTATTTAATATTGCAACAAATAGGCTACATTGCTCATTGAGAGTTCATGTTAGTTAATACATTAATTAATGTTAAATAATGAACCTTATTGTGTGTTATAATAATAATAAAGATAATAATATTTATTAAATGTCCAAAAAGCTGAGACCAAACTAATGTGTTATTACATTTATTAAAATAATAATAAATGAATCATATTTAAATGATTAAAAACAAAAATGATAAGATTAAAACTTTTTTATTATTAGTGGTCTCAGATATTAGGAGACCACTTATAGATTTTTATTTGTATTTTTTAAATAGTGTAATTTGTTTAGATATGTGCATGCATTTGTGTAGTAATTAATGCAATACAGTCCTGTATAATAGATAAAACGCTGATGATAATTTAAATGACTATGTTATTTAATTTTTATTTCGCCATAATTATAATTATAGTTCAATTATAATGGGTTTATAGACCGGCCAGTCAACAAATTGTTAATGATAATTGCCTCTAAAGCAGAAACTTCGAAAAGTTACTTGGCATGGCAAACTCTTTGTCAGTTTCATTAGACAAACAAAATACATTATAAAACACACTTTACCAATATAATTTATCAATATTGGGATCTTGCAAGTTTCTGAGATTGTAATCCATCTGGTTCATAACCGCACTTTTAAAATATGATGAATTACATTAAGTGTGTGTTTGTATATATATATATATATATATATATATACAAACATAAATATATATATATATATATATATAGTAGCCCGTTTTATGCTCTGCTCATTTTTGTTGAATTGACGTGACTCAATGTTATGTAATGATAGGTTGGGTGGCCCAGTCCTTTTTAAAACAATAATAGCATGATGTTTTTTAAGCAGAAGTCATGAACAGAATCATAATTTATCTAAAACGTTCCTTCCAAACGATCCAATCCCATGTGCTTTTCTCAGCATTTCCATTCTCCTCTTCATTTTGCAGTGCCGTCCAACTTCATTACACTGATGGATGTAAAACAGCCACAGATTAGTATTTCCAGACACTTATATGAATACAAAATCTCTTTTGGCTGCATTTCGGCTGAAATAATATTATGCTGCAATGGTTAAAAACAAAAGCATGAAAGCAAGAAAAAAAAAAAAAAAGCCTTTTTACCAGGACATGCTATCAAAAAACTTACGTGAACATTTTAGTATGTCAGAGTTCACAAAAAAAGACGTCTGGCTAAATTCTACACCGGTGAGTAACTGGCTTATCATAAAATATAGTGAAAGGAGTATAAGCACATTTGCTAACGTTACTAATGCCACTTTTCCTCCTCACTGATGTACTTTATGCTGGAAAACACACTGCGTCGATTACACAATGTTAATAGATCATGGCAGAGAGAAGCTGTCTTGTTCGGTAGCTCTACTTAAGTCACATTGAAATATAACAGGATGTCTAGAAGAGGAAAAGCTTGCACTTTACAATAAGGTTCATTAGTTAACATGAACTAAGAGCTTTCATTAGCTTGCATTGGATACTATATATTTGGCATATGAGCAGAAACTGTCTGACTAAAGCTTAATTGATGTCTATTTCATAGTAAAAACTTTATAATCTATAACAGTCTGCAACAGTAGGCTATGCATCTGTGCGTTCGTTCGTTCATAGCCGATTCAGTCTTTTTGGTTTTACAGATCAGTATAGAACAAATCTCAGTAGTCTATATAGTCTTATTAATGTAGGAGTGAAAGTGAATGAACTCAGCGCGCGAGCGTCTGTCTATGCGCGCATTTAATATTTAAACAGTCTTTGTGCAGTTTACCGACACTATTCAATAACGCGATTGGAACAAAGCACTTAAAGGACAACTCCGGCGCAAAATGAACCTTTAGTCTAATTACACATTGTTACCTAGTCAACCGTTATCAGAGATTTGTTTTCATGATTGCCGAATGTAAATAGTTTTATCTATAAAAACAGTTTAGCCTATAACGCTAGTATAATGCTAGTATATGGGGCATAGAGTAAT